GAATCATCCGTGATATTAAATGTGGATAACTGTAATCTGAAGAAGACAAGCAGGCTGCTTCGTTTGCTTCCCACCTGAGCTGAGGTCAGTCACTCTGTCTCACACACTGTCTCACCCTCTGTGTGGTGTGCAGGTAACATTTTATTGGTGGATGGTACTGCGTGTGGAGAAATCAAAATCACAGACTTTGGCCTGTCTAAGATTATGGATGATGATAACTATGGTGTGGACGGGATGGACCTCACATCACAGGGAGCTGGAACCTACTGGTAAGACACACAAGGACACATAGGCAGACACCAAAACCCCTCTCAGACTGACACAGTAACACGGGTTAAACCCCTCTCTGTGAACCGCTGAACACTCATTATCCGCCTTGAATTCATTATTATGGGCAGTGAATTGTGAATTCCCTGTATAATTCCTACCACTTGTATGGTATAAAATAATCATGGAGTTCAGTTAGCAAAAATATGTATGACATTCTGTGTGTGTTTCAGGTACCTTCCTCCAGAGTGTTTTGTGGTGGGAAAGGAGCCACCTAAAATCTCCAACAAGGTGGACGTCTGGTCTGTGGGAGTGATCTTCTTCCAGTGCCTCTACGGACGCAAGGTACAAACCTAAACATCAGCCGCTACACTGGAGAAAGCAAATGAAGCCAGATATTAGGTTATCTCTTAAAGAAAGTGCTTTGAATTGTGGTGAGGGGAAAAGAAAGATTTGTACATTCAAGATTTTTCTTTAATAGTTGAAGCAAACGTTGGATTGGTGGTGATTTTATGTTCTTTGTTTTTCCAGCCGTTTGGTCACAACCAGTCACAGCAGGATATTCTCCAGGAAAACACCATCCTCAAAGCCACAGAGGTCCAGTTCCCTGCTAAACCACAGGCTAGCACAGAGGCAAAGGTAGCGCGCGCACACACACACACACATATAGTACACATTTACACAATGGCTAGTATGCCAGTTTTACTGTGTACATTCTGCTAAAAAAAGCTTGAAACCTGACACTCCTGTGACTAATGTTACTGTTAGATCTTTTCAGACTGGTGATGATTGTATTTATATTCAGTGCAATATTTCAGTATTAATCCAATAAAGATTCTGGATTTAAAAAATGTACATTCTGATTACCTTAAACCAAAGGTTGTCACAGAAGGAGTTAGGGGTGAACAAATTGCATAACATGTATCTTAAAACTGCTCTGAATTCAACTATAAAGAAACATTAAATGATCACATGAGAAGTGTCTGTATTTGGGCCCAGAATTAAATACCTGAAAAATCAAAGCACTTCATCACATTGATCCAAAAAAGTCCTGTAAATCCAAAAGTGCCATAAAGCCTACTGATATTAGGGGGAAACCTCAGGATGAACAACAAAACAAAATGTCTGAAATGTCTGTATAAATACATTTGGCTTGACTTCACAGTTGGCAAATGTAAATTGTCTCTCAGTATTTATCAGCGTTTTGCCCAATCCAAGTAGGTGTGAGCAAACTGAGTTGAGATACTGGTGTAAGTTTTCATTCTATAATTGAAGTATTAATGTCTACAAGTGTCTGGCTGTCCACTGACATGTTGACACAGGCTCAAACACCTGAATCAACTCTAACGTGTATCAGTTTAGAGCACAGTTACAGTATCTCTCCTGTATTGTCTCTCTAAGTCAATATGAGGAGTGTCCACACACACACACACACACACACACACACACGCAGCCTGCAGCACATTGTATGATATGTTCTCCTCTGCTCTGCAGGCATTTATCCGGCGCTGTCTGGCCTACCGCAAGGAGGACAGGTTCGATGTTCACCAACTGTGCTCGGACTCCTACCTCCTCCCTCACATGAGACGTTCTAACTCCTCCGGCTCCCTGCAGCCCTCCGCCTCATCTCTCCCTACCTACTGACTGGCTCTCTCACATGACTGACAGGACCCTCTGGCCAATCTCAAGGCAGATTGTTGAAATTGGAGGATAATGGATGGATCTCTTTCTTTTTTTTTTTTGTACTTGAGCTATTCCCAAATGGATAAGTTAGAAACAGAGAAGAATTAAATGGAAAAGATGGAAAAGGGTTGAAAAAGTGAAAGTGGGATACCCCCTTTGCATATGTTGTACAGAATTGTGCCCTTGAACTCCACTGTGTGAGATACGGCAAATAACAAAACTGGAAAACAGAAGGGTAATGGAAAGAGAGCGGAGCAAGAAAAGAAAATGATGAAGCTAGTGGATTTCCTTTGGACTTTATTAAATAACCCCTTAGGAGACATTTCGACAGCTATAGGGGCTCCTAGGTGCCCTGTCCCAGCCCACCTCTCTTAGCTCTACACCATAATACACCTCACAAGATGGCTTAGAATTTCTTCTACATTATAGATGTTCTCTTGTTGTTATGTGAGGGTGGCATTGACCGGCGGGGGACAGAAGAAAGGGATGAACAGGTGTGTGTGCTGCAGAGAAGGTCCGAGTGTCTCCAAGTCAAAATATGGACTCCCTGTTCAAGTAACCTGCTGTCCATATTTATGAGGCACAACATGATGGTTACATCTGTTTGAATCTCCCCTCGCAGGCCCTCTGCACGCAAAGGGGGGTTCACTTAAAACCTTAAGTTGTAACCTTGATAAGAATGAAAAGAAAATATGTTCCAGACGAAATTTCTGGGGTCAATTTGCACTTCCGGTCCAGATCGTGGCGATCTGGTCACACACATTTGGCATGAAGTACTACAGCGTGGGCTAGTTCTGGACTGATCAGTAGCCGAGTCCTTGGTTCACTTTTTTGTTTTGTTCCGAAGCAATTCAGATCTACTGCCGGGTTTACAGGAAGTGGACCTGTCAATCTGTCTTAATCCATTTTGTGTTGTCAGATAAGAGTCAAAATGTTTCCAACAGCACAGTATTACAGTACCATGTTGTCATAGACGTCCTCATCAAGCTGCCTGGAAATAGTTGGACTGAACTGAGGGACTGGATCAGCTGTTACTGTACTACAAAGACTCGGGACACAGAATTTAGTGCACATTTCATGTGCAGGAGACATTACCCACTAGCAAATACATAATAATGAGGCTTTATCCTTGCTTCCCAGTGTCTCACTTTGCTCCGTTTATTTGTGTTTCCTCCTGAAAGCTGTTCTCAGTTTGCTGCTATAAATGTTGCTTTTAGTTTGTAACGTGTGAATGGTCTCTGCCTGCCATATGTGCATACTTGAACTGTGTTAAGAGGAACACTCTCCAGAGCCCTTTTTTCTGAAACGGACACCCACTGTGCTGTTTGGGGAGGGGGGGATGCAAACCGTTCCTCTGCCACCAACATCAATGTCCACACGGGTTTTTGTTTACTCTCATGTACAAGTCCAACAGACATTATATGGAGCAAAGTCCCAGTATGCTATGTAGAGAGGAATGGTCACACCTGTTCATGCCAGTAGAAGTGGGCACGCTCCAGGTTGGCTGTGTTGCAGCATGATTCACTGCAGCTAGGAATCACATGGATATATCCAAATGTTGTCGTCCTGTAAATAAAACACTTACCTGTACGTTCTTGCAACGTTTTAAACCCTCTCAGATGCAGGCAGCCTGGACTCAGCCCAAAGCACACCCGTGGCAAGAAAGAGAAATCTCCCTGGGTGAGGAAGTCAGATAAAAGACAAGTGGGAGCAGTTAACAGCAAGTTGTGGGTGTCTCTTCCCTCCTGCTTTTAAAAAAAAAAGTCTTAATGGATTTTCTGTGTGCGAGCCGTTAGATGAATAACGAAAGAAATGGTAGTTTCAGTAACATGACAAGTCAGATTAAACTGCAGGAAGTACCGCCTCACGGCTTGCTGCTTCCAGATGAAACAGGTAAAGTCTGTGTTCAGTTTGATGAAGTGTAATTTGATCCACTTGGGTGCAGTAAGGCATAAAACAAACGTATCCCCTCCTGTCTAGTTTTTTTTTTCTTCTCCTCTACATGATAAAACAACAATAGAAAATGGGTGCTAGCATCAAGTGCATATACCACATGATTAATGGCAGCCGTGTGTAGACAGACGTAAGTACAGCCATTAGTAAGCTACGTGTCAGATCACATTAGCGGTGGGGGTGCTGCACTAGGCCGTGTCATTCATATGCAATAAAGATTGCCTTACGAGCCTTAATTCCTGCAGTGTGACCCATATTTCCTGCGGAGGGTTATGCAACGTCACTGGAGGTGTTTTATACAAGATGGAGCACAGAGGAGGGTGATGATATCTTCGTGTTAATGATGAGAGGACAACGGCATATGGACATTTTTCATACATGGCACCTCAGGCACCATTAGAATACAGTCCCAATATTTAGCGCGTTTACTGAGCTCCACTTGCTGAAAAATTATGCTTAAAAGTATTTGAATTAAAATTCACTTGGCCATAGTTCATTCAGGAGGGATTTATGACAGTGTAAGACTAAAATCTGTCACCTTTGATTGTATGGTAGAAAATATGAATTTAACCACTGCTGAATGCTTAATGTTTACTTTAAGTGCCACTGACTTTGAAGCATCGAAATATTTGACTTTACATACCGAATGTCTAAATTGATGTGGTTTTTATTTAAAACCTTCCTGTTGGTATTTTCAAGAGGGGCAATTTCTAATTTACACTGAAAACTAAAATGTCCCGTTTAAAGAAAGTAAAACGTTTCTTCAGTTCAGACAACCAAAATTCAAGATGAAAAACGCAAAAAATCCAATCAGGTTCAGGTGGATGGTTTTTGATTTTAACCACTGATCTCATTCTGGCCACCAGAGGAGCCACAGGAAGTGCAACTTTAGTCCATGTTTCTTTTTGCAATACCTGCTTTATCCATTTGTCCTTTTGGTTGTCATCCTGCTCTTTTCCATTCATCCCCTGTCATCACTTCATCACACATAATCATTTATGTTCTTGTTTTTCATCAGTCTGTTTTTATTGTGTAAGGGGGGCTGAGACATAAAGGAAGGAGCAACAAACGCTGTATAAAGACACAGAGGCATCATGTAAAATTAATTTGGCTTTATTGCTCGCACTGTGCATACTGTAGATGTTTTCAGAAAGTTCTGTTACAGTGACACCTTGTGGCTGCACTGCATCACTGGAACTACCAATTCACTTAGGCCATGCCAGGAAGAGACGTACGGTGTATTTAATAATCTTACACCCATGTTTCACCCTACCTACTGATCACCCAGCAGCAAGCACAGACACTCAGTAGTTCATGTAACTGTAAACCTCTGTCCCCTCTGGCATGGCCTGCAGACTGTTACCATCCCTGTGGGAGAGACGGGTACTATAGAGTTCTGGATAGACGTGGAGACATACAAAGGGACAGACTTAATAATTTCAAAACACAAAAGGTGGTGCAAAATAATGCAGATTCATTCATTGGGTGAAGACTCATACAGCAATTTCAACAAAAATGAATACATGTCAATCAAATCAATCTATTGGTCGGAGGGGATCTATTAACTAATAATAAAAGGTTACACGTTAGGGCTGGACAATAAGACCAAAAACATGAGGATTCATATTTGCCTTTATTGTTTACTTGTATTTTAATACAGCAGTGCATGATATTTCTTGTCTCCTGCAGGCCCAATCTGTTCTCTTTGTCCCCATTTATTCCAGTATGACCAGTTACACAACCACTGGACTGTGAGGTGATTGGCTGACTGAACTTCCACTCACTTGTTATTGTAGCTTAGTTTTTGTTTTGTTTTGTTTTTTATAGATTTAATTTATTGTCCAGCCCCAATAACATACACTGTTTATATAAAAAAGAAATAAGTATGTGAAACCGAGAGGATTGCCAGATCAGAAAGGGAGGAAATCCTAAGATAGTTCTTTGCCGTGTTGTAACTGCAGAAGTGCAAAGCAAACTACAAACCAAAGAGTAGACCCCGTCCTCCTCAGTAGCTTAGACAAGCTACTAGCTCCGTGACAATCTGGTAATAAAGACATGTTGGTAAGACCAGTCTACATCCGTCCTCCGTTCTTCATATCCATTCATCCTTCATCGCGCCACACATGCCTCCTCACCCATAACTGGAGCATGCCGACCTCTGTGTCTGAACTAATGCAGCTGTCTGCCTGCCCCCTCTTGGCCAAATAAATAGAAAAACACAGAGAAAGACAGATGGTAGAAAGAGAGAAACCAGGTGTGTGTTTTGGTATGATGGCAAGCGGGAACTTCTCTCCCAGGTTACGACGTTAGTGTTGTTTCCGTGGGGGGCGGTGATTCCGTGGCGTTCGTGGAGGCTACTTCCGTGGGGACTGTGTGGTCGGCGGCAGGCTCGGTCGCAGGCGCTCCTGTGACCGTGACCGAGGCTGCAGGAGCGGTAGTGGAAATGGGCAGGAGGGGGGTCACTCCCTGAGGGAGGAGAGGAGGAAGCTGGGAGGGTAGCATGGTGGGTAGAGGATGAAAGGGAGCCAGGCCTGGGATGTTGAGGGGTGGGAGGGATGCCAGAGAGGGGACTGGTGGAGACAGAAAGAAAACAGAGAGATGTATTGATGTTCATGTTTGCAGGGAATTAGATTTGAAATGTACCCCACAACCACGCTACGCACTCATACTTCAACAAAGATTTTGGAAAAGATTTGCTTTTCAGATGAGAGGTTGATGAAAAGATCATCTATACGGCTACAGCCAGCAGCTGATTAGCTTAGCATGAAGACTGGAACAATTTGATGTCAATCAATGAGCTGTAGAGGTGCTGGAAAGTGGATTTTTGTTTTTTTTGGTGAGAGCCAGGCCAGCAGTTTTACAGTTTCCAGTCTTTGTGCTAAGCTAACCGACTGCTGGCTTTAGCCTTATATTCAACGACAGATACATGAGCGGTATCAATCTTCTCACCCTTCTAATCCAACAAGACAAATATAAGACTATTAAAAGGATAGTTAATATACCTAGAAGTAATAATAGTCTCAATTCAGACTATATACTCATACATGGCATACATATATATATATATATATATATATATATATACACATATATTGATGTAATGTACCATATTACCCAGTCTGTATACAAGTGACTGATATCGCTACTCTAGGGCCTTGTAACAACAGGAAAATGATGCAAGACATATCCCATTGCAGAACAATAGTCATATTCAAATTTCAAAAACATAGTGACAGAAAATCTTTTTTGTACAATTCTGTAATTTATAAAAGACCTTAAATATACTGTATATGCATTTCACAAGATAAAAAGCAAAGGTTACAGGAAAAGGCTGAACACATATTTAAATAATATTAGGTTCTGCTTTATTATCCTGTTAATAATCTCTAATGAGATTTTACTTGTGACCCCCTTTGTGGGTCCTGACCAGCACTTTGGGAGACACTTGAACAGAGTCCGTACACACAGTACATCGTGTGCAGCAGGTACAGAAAGCAAGAATGTTTATTTACCTGTGGTTCCTATTGGTGGTTGTCCTGCTAGAGACACAGCACTGAGATCTGGGAGTGGCAGGTTGAGGTTGGGTAAGTTAGGGAGTGGAGGTAAGCCACCTGGGAGGGGCATCAGACCTACACACACACACACACACACACACACACGGTCATATGAGGGTGCACTATTATTAGTAATTCATTGCCAGTGACTTATTTATACTAAACTCATGCTACTTTACTGCAGTGAGGCCACTTTGAAAAACTTTTTTCTTTGTATATTTGAAAAAAGTGACACACATGACAAGATAACAATAAAGGAGGAGGTGGGAATTCATGGCAACAAACAACAACCAGAATGAAAAAACAAAGTAACACAAGATAGTAATCTGAACTAAGTTTAACATACATACTGTTTACTAAAGGACAAGCTGCAACCGAGTGTATACTACGTACACACACTAAGATTTGATATTGGCTAATGCAGTTGAGGCAGACCTTTTCTTTTGAACAAACACACCCATTTAAATCTGTGGAGCGAGAGCTGTAATGCGTCTGCCACCCATGGGCCTTTCCAAATGTTTGGTGTTAAAAGCTCGTGGACTCAGCAGGCCCATGATGAGTGTTTTGGAATGAGTATGTTTGAGAAATCACCTACCTGGTAGCGTGGTGGTGGGGTTGAAGCTGGTGGCAGCAGGATTAAGTGGAGTGAGGGGGCTGAGGGAGGGGCTGGTGGAGGAGGGAAGCAGAGGGACCGTGGGCAAACCTGGAGAGCAGGGAGACACAAATCCCACGTTAGATAAAACTATATGGAGTAAATGCACAATGTTTATCAAAATCCCAAATGTCCCCATCACATGGATGTGTGTGAAAGAAAGTGGAAGCAAAACCAAAAAAATAAATACCTGTCTGCAGCTCACTTGGCATGGTGGGCGGGGCTGTGCTGATTGACAGGCCTGACAGTGAATCTTCAAGGCCAGAAGGGACAACAGGTGCAGTAGAAGGAGGGGTCACTGCTGAAAGCTGGACCTGAAGGAGTTAAAAGAGGAAACACAAAAAGATGCTGCTGTCAAACAGATAAGGTCACATTCATCCAAATGTACAATTAAGTGTAATGAGCAGCACTGCTTTCTGTCCCTCTGGCTGCTTTGCTGCATACATAATGAGGTAACTTACATCTATAGAGTGAACACTTAAAAGCATCTGAGGCCATAAGACACACAACTTCAACCTTTTCAATGTCATGCCCACACACACTGCATACTGATCAGTAAAGGTTTGGCTGGCTTAAAAGACCATAACTCTTGGGTGAATACCGTGAGCAGTGGGGGGG